CAGGCTGGCGTCGCTGTTCCTTTCGTTTCTATTGGCTGTTAGATTTCCTATGTGTCACTGTCAGTTCAGTTTTTGTGTCGCTGTTCGCGCTGACATCGCTTTCCATATCTCGGTGGTTGCTAGCGGTGTTGTTTGCTTTGCCGTTTCTGCTTCCGGTTTTGCATGGAGGTGTTCCTATCATGCACTGAATGTGATCAATTTTGGCAATTTGCAGATGAGACTACGTGTACAATTTCCATATGCATGCTTCAAAGTGTAGGTGTTTCCGTTTTCTGTATTTTTTTTCTATCCAATTTACACAGGCGGTTGCAGATTTTTCCACTGCGTGTTTGTTGGCTATAGAGGAAGTTGCCACGAGATGAGTTTGTTTACGATGTGGTCTGGGCGGCTGACACGTACAGATTTTACGGGATTAGGCGGTACCGCCGTAGGCGTAGCTTCCTTTATTTTTTTGCATTCTCTCTCTTTCCAGAGAACTCCTGTCATCGCCGCTTAATAGCTTTGTGCTGCTATAAATTCTCATCCCGGCAACGTCTAACAACCATCCTCCGTGATCCTCACGAGTCCATGTAGCCCCGTTTCCCTTCTGCCGGCCGATGTGATGGCGCACGCATGAAAGGTGCTGTAAAGGGATGTACACGAGCGACACCAAGAAGGCCACCATCGAGCAGAGGACGGCGGCCTGCGTCCGCCATCCCCGTCTACCTATGAATAGCTAGCGAGCAGCAGCAATGCAAGTCCACAAACCGGACGTCGCTGGCTCGCTCTCGCCGACGCGGGGTTTGCGTGTGGGAGAGTGGGAGTGCCTGCTCCGTCGCCAGCGACTGCAACAGCGTCATCTCTGCCGACTTTGAGGGCCTCTTCTCCTCTTCCGTCGACGTCGGCACGCCATCGCTCCTGTCCGACGGCCTGCCCACGGCGGCCGATTAGACCACGACGGTCGCGGCGCCTGCAGGAGCGTCTTTGCCCTTTCTCCGCCACTCTAGGGGCTCGAGTCCTTCTGGGGCCGCCGACCGGAGATGTAGGATGCCACCGCTGTCGTCCCACTCTTGTACCTTTTTTTTGCGGGGGATCTCACTCTTGTACCATTCTGGATGGTAGCCGGCGGCCGCTGTCGTCCCTCTCTTGGACCACTTTGGGTGGTCACCGGCGACGGCGCCGCGGTGATGGCCTCGACCGCACGTCCTTCCACCTCCCCACACACTTCCTCGCCATGTACGACTGCCAGGGGGCGCCCAGGTCGCCAACTAATGCCAGGATAGGCTACAGGCCCTTTCGTCGAGGAGCTGCGGTCTCCAGAGGACCCCGTTGGCGCCTAAGGACCTGAGCTCTCTGGATTCCAAGAAGCAGTGGGAGAAGGCGTTCATGGACTGCGTCATCGTCGATTCATCATGGGCCTATGCGCCGGCAATCTTGACCTCGAGTCAGCCCTACCTGCCGACGCCTCGCGTTGCCGACCTCCCAGGCTGACGGCGCCCCGCCGTTCTGTGTCGCGTCGCCACCGGTCTGACATTGCGTTCACCCAGGTCGCCATGGCGCCATCGCCTTGCCGGGCAGCGCCATCGGAGCCCTTCCCTCCGCGTCGTCGTCGTGGAGAGGTGTTGCACCGCTTAGGCTAGAGCCAAAGCAGACATGAGGTGTCACCCTTGCTCCTTGCCTCTCCGCCTCGATCGGCGTCATCTGCGGGATGGCGAACACACGTCGGTTGCCTCTTCCTCACTCTCTACGTCGTGCGCCCTGCATGCTGCTGCTGTGTTGCGTCTGCCGCGAGGTCTGCCTGGTCGCACGCTGCCGCAAGCACACGCGAGCTCTGCCGACGCCCACGGTTGACTTGCGAGTCACTGCACCGCCGCAAAGCAGTGCCTGAGCCCCTCCATGGTATCGTGACAAAGAACTGACTAGATGCTTCATGCTAGAACATAGCATGTTCCTGTGATGTATCCTGCTGGAGCTGCAAGTTTGTGGTATGTCAAACTAAAGTTTGTTGGAAGAGTTTGGTTTAGCTGCTACGCCACATGACTCAGGTTCTTGATGAATTGTGGTAGGAGAAGCAAATCTTGCTTGCTGAATGCAGATCTTGCCTGGAAATGACTGTTGAGCTCAAATTAGGTTAGTTAATTCGTTGGAACACCTGTTGTTTTACCAAAAGCAGCTCAGCTAATTAAACGTTTCGATGCAGAGCCGCGTATCGTATCATAAATCACCTTCCGTTGAACTTTGAATTACCTCGAAAGTGAGAGGAACCACATCATACAAGCGTTGGCATATACACCCTTTTTTATACCCTTCGCATAGGAACATGTATACGCACCACAAGTATGGATATCATTTAAAATAATTAATATTTTCCACACGAAAGCAGGGGCTCTTATCACTCATTCCGTTCATAAATATTTCTGTAATACTACTCTGAAACAAGTCAATATAGGACAGGTATATGCACCACAGGTATGGATATCACTAAAGAGAAGCATGTACTAACTCATTTGGTTGCACTGTTGTATATTCAGCAGTTACAATTCTGAAACAAAATCAATATATATTTTAATGTTGCTTTCAATTCAAGACTTCTTTAATACTACGATTTCCTTATTATATATAGTAAGGTAGACTTGGCCGCAGAGTTAGGGAACGAGATCCTCTAACATCACGAATGGATGTTAGGGAAGCTACAGTACCCTGACATCCCTTCTTCACATCCATATGATTAAGCCTAAAATGACTTGAATTAATTTGCAAATTACAAATCTACTGTATACATTTATAAAAATTACATACAAACAAAATTATGGTGCAATAAAATTAATTTCGGATTTTATTTTCTATGAACAAATTGCGCACATTATCTTTGCTACAGTGCCCGTGACATCCCTTCTTTGTTTTGCACTGGGATTGCACTATAGTTTCATGACATCCCTTCATGATGTTAGAGGGTCCGTTCCGCAAAGTTAGCCACAGAGAAGTAGTATTGTGTGCTAACCATCTGAGGTGAATATACTGCTAAATTCTAAATACCAATAACTGCATTCATCACTTCAGAGTGGTTGATTTAATAGCCAATATTATTAAGTTTCGGATCTTCATTGTGTAGTCTCGCTTCGCATCTTGTCCAAGATCTGTCATACATAGGAATGTCATGTTTCCCAATTTTACAGAGCCCCTGTAAAGAGATATTTTTGAACCTTGCTTGGCAGAGTCAATGATAATATCCAGGAAAAACATGCAGTATTAATGGACCAGAGCAAGTATGCAGGGTTGCGGGAAGTTACACAAAGGATACATATCAAACATCAAACCGGCTGCCATTACGAAGACATACATAGTTGAATTAGTGGTCAATGTAGTTCTACGAACCAAACAGGTCAATCTCCTTACCAATGTTGACCATAAATAAAAGATTGGAAGGATGCGCCATCTTTATCCCTTACGAAAAAGAAGAACTATATTAATGACACAATAGTTATGCATTGTACGTCAATGTACAGTATTATCTAGGAGCAAGCGCGGCGTGCCGCCGCGCGGGTATAAGCTAGTACATGTGTTATGTGTGCTCACAAAAAGTTTTGTTTTTTTCTACTCGTAATAAAAAAAGGTTTTAATTTTTTCTACCCACAATTTTTTTGATTTTTTCGCGCTTTAGAAAATTTGGAAACGAGCTCCAAAGTACCCAAGAACCATTCGCATTTTGCGCCACAGTTACCTCTTTTACAAGCAGGGAATGATCGACGTCGGAGCATCGTCAACCAAACACTAGGCGGGGAGAATTTAGCAGGGGAAGCAAGCTCATGCGATTCACAAAAGACGAGCAGACGGTTTGCAAAACTTTGCCCAGCATATTTTCGGCAAAGCAGCGGATTTGCCTTTCCTTGTCACGCGGTTTAGAGCATCTCTAGCAGATGCGGTTTCTATTCTGGCCAGAAAAAAGGGCCAAACCTGTACTCGCCAGAATTACATGGGTTCGGTCCTTTTACGGGGTCTGCTAGAGATGCTCTTAAACCGGTGACTTTACCGGGTACCCTCAGATAGTGGGCAGGTGATTACATGAATGAAAGTTGTGATGGGACCAAAGGCTTTACTGTAAGTATCTGGCGTTGATCAGCCTTTTGCTCTTGGAAAATGATTGAATTTGACTCGTGTTATGAACTTACGATCGATCTCTAAACCCAGTTTCAGATAAGTTTGAATTAAACCAACCGTTCAGTACTTGGAATAACACATGTACAGGTTGGGTCATGATGGCTCGAAAAGGAAAACACAGCCGTCAAAAAGAAATTCAGGGTGTTGGCAGACGATCAGTGCCTTCCAAAGAGGAAAATTTCTCAACTGCGCGTTACAGCTTATCCATGTGCTCTGGTTTCCTCCGTCCGTGTTTTTTCACTCCCCGCTAAAAAGGAGTTAATTCTGCATTTTTTGCTTTCCACAGCTAGTAGATGTAAAAGCAACAAGGCGGTAGAAATCAGCGAATAGCTAAAGCCACGGGAGGCCTCTTGTAGTCTTGCATCATCAGTTCATCATAGAAATCAGCAATTTTTTGCTTACTCGGTTGCTTTGGAGTGGCTGAGCTGAGCTGAAGTAATTTCGGTTTTAGGTAGTTGCTAGTGTTTGCTGTGCTCATGTCAGGTGGTACTGTTGTTGAGTGCTTGAAGAAAGTTCCGTTTCTTCTTCTCAGGTTTGTGCTGAAACAAACCGTGAACCGAACAACCTTGACTTCCTTCTCCAAGTAAATCAGTAAGCCCCCGAGCAGCGAGCGCCGACTCATACGACAGGTTAGCTGTGGCCCAGCAAGAAGAGGAAGACGAAGGCGAGGTCAATGACGAATGAAACTGAGGGTTGTGTGGTTAGTTGAGCTGCATCAAAAATTTGTTGCGGTTGATAACTGCATGCAGTAACCATAGACGCCACGATCAAAATCACCGTCCTAATCACTGAAAAAACCCACCTACATCGTTCTTTAACATTTTGATCATGCCACGACCGGAGAACGAACAAACAGAACATCATCACTTCTTAATTTCGTTGCAGAGCTCAAGAACAATCTCTGCGATTTTCGACTTCGGTATCGGCTTTGTCAGGTGAAGATCCATCCCTGCCTGGATGGCCTCCTGCTGACCCTCTTCCTCGGAATGCGCGGTCAGCGCGATGATCGGGGTGCGGATACCATGACGGCTTTCTTCCTCACGGATGCGCCTCGTCGCCTCATAGCCATCCATCACCGGCATCTGAATCAGAGAAAATTGAATTGGCAGCAGTGTCGAATTAAATCATCTATCATCAGAAATGAAATGTACCTGGCAATCCATGAAAATCACATCGTAGGGCATGGCCCCTGTATCTACATGACTCTCTGGGACGCCATTTGCACCCTCAAGAGCTTTTGTGAACATGGCCACAGCCATGGAGCCATCCGTGGCAATTTCTACAGCTGCTCCGAGATTGGTCAGCACCTGCTTCTGGACTATCTGCAGCACCAGGGTGTCCTCCGCCAGCAGCACGTGCATGCCCTCCAGCGGCTTGCCGTCTCCAACATCGGTCGGTCCCTGGAGCGCCGCCGCAGCTGCCACGGGCGTGATTTCAGAGGTCTGATCTGCCGCTGGTACTTCTTTCATGGCTGTCCCGAACTGATAAGGATGCTGCTGATGGAACGGGGAGGCCTGGAGATCTCTCATGACCTGGAGGAGCTTGTGCAGCCGGGATCCATGGATGGGCTTGCGCAGATCAAGATCGCAGATCGCCGCCTCCTTGAACTTCCTCAGATCCTCGGAGGGGGTCTTGAGGTCGGTCAGGCAGACGACCCTGCACGGTGCCTGGTGCCTGATCCTCGCCAAGCTCACCGCCTCGCGGGCGACCTTGTGGAGCATCCCGCTGGAGACGTCGACGATGACTAGCAGGCCGAAGGGGTGAACATGCCCTTCGTGGTTGCCGGCCATGCCGCTGCTGTTCCGCAGGTGGCTAACCATCTCCTTGGAACTGAAGCACCGATCTGTGGTGCAATCGAAGTCGCCGTCTCCGACGCCATGCAACGACGACATCAAAGCCGGCCTCGAGGGTGAGGCACCGCCGGCGATGCGCGCCTTGTCGAGGCTCGACGCGAGGAGCTCGGTGCTTGGGACGGGCCAGACCTTCATCCCGATACTTTCCATGCATGTGTGGAGGATCCGGCGGGTCTCGTTGCCATGGACAAGGAGGACGCATTGCCCGCCCTTAAAGCAGGCGGGCTCACTGAAGAGCGAGGGCGGCGTCCTCCCTTGCTCGAGGTCCTCTTCAACCTTTGGACTATCGCTCACTTTTAGGAACACGTTGAAACCGAAGCATGTTCCCGCTGCCCCTTGCTCATTGTCCATTATGTTGATTTCTCCTCCCATCAGACGAACCTAAAATAAATATACCAACAAGAACAACAAGCAAAATCATAAGTAAACAAGAAAACACAAAACATGAGTGAGATATAGTTTTTTTCTTTCCAAACAGTACAACCCTACCCCATGAATAATATAGTAGCGACTAATTGTTTTGCAAAGTTCTCAATGGCGACGCATAATTCATATTGAGTGTTACATGCAAAGCAACATAAGTTGCCTGAATTTTTCTTAAATACATTTGGGTTAACATAGCCATCTTCATCCCAAGTCAGTCTATAATTTATATATAACCTCCAATGATACAAATTATTAGACTTTGTAGTGTGTAAACTAAGGTGATGTTTTAGGCAAGTGGCAGTTCAAAAGCATTGATGTACTTGGCAGGGTTTTAACCTCCACAAAAAGAGTTGAGATCACTTACAAAGGATTGCACGATTCCAAGTCCAAGCCCGGTACCACCATGCCCTTCCTTCACTTGAACATAGTTCTCAAACACAGACTCCCTCTTATCCTTGGGTATTCCCACACCAGTGTCAACCACCTCAAAATAAAACTCAACCGAATTGGAGTCGTTTTGCAAGGACATGCAGCCATTATGTTCATTACAGTTCTCCCTCCTTCCTAGGAGCCATTGGAAGACCCCACCAGGGCGACGGCAGGGAGAAAACCTCGTCGGGGTGCTTATCATGGATCTTCTCATGATTGGGCGGTTAGCCCATGCCCGAAGCATGACGTGGCCTTCGTGCGTGAACTTGATGGCATTGCTGAGTAGGTTGTCAAGGATCTTCTTGACACGCTTGTAGTCACCGATGGTGGCAGTGCATCGAAGCACGGAGAAGTCACAGGGGTCCCAGATTACCTCGATGCCTCTTGACATGCCGATGACATTCGCTAGGTCCATGGATTCCTCAAGCACGTCTGTCATCTTGAACTCCACCTCCTCTAGTTGCATCTTCCCGGACTCCACCTTGCCCATATCCAGGATCGTGTTAAGTATATCTGCATGTAATATACACATGTATATTAGTCATCATATGCTCAGCTAAGAGAGAGAGAGAGAGAGAGAGAGAGAGATAGATAGATAGATAGATAGATAGATAGAGAGAGATAGAGAGAGAGAGAGAGAGAGAGAGAGAAAACTTGTCGTTTTATGCTTTCAAAGACGGCCACAACCAACACGTATGGTGCATCAACGTGACAAAATATTTGCCTTACCACAAAATAGACAGAAAATATTGAAACACAATGTATCTACTGGCTGCTAACATGGTGATATAGGAAAATTCTATTTCAACTATCCTAAACTTTAATCTAAAAAAACTATTGATTCTTTACCAAACAGAGATTTATTTATTGTTTATTTTATAAATTATGAGCAAATTTTATATTCAAAACGTATAACAGTTGTCTTGCACATTTTCTACACCTAAAATTATAAACATATTATTTGTGGAAAATTTACTTTCATGACGTGTAAATTTATATAATAATCTGATCATATTTGCTAATTTGCCAAGTGCGGAGTAGATCTAGTACTAAAAGGTGGCGCCAACTATACATGGCATTGTTATGTATGCAATGGTAAGTAGGGCCATGGATTTATTGATGCATGGAGCTTGCAGACTGACCCAAGAGCTTGTTGGTGCCGACATCCATTTGGTCGAGGTTGTAGGTGAGGTTGGGGTTGTCGTGGGCCTCCAATCGGGAGAGCTCGATGAGCCCAACAATGGCGGCTAGCGAGGAGCGGATGTCATGGCTGGCACGGGCGAAGGCATTGCTCTTGTTCATGCTCTTGCGCTCCGCCTGCCGGAGCGCCTCCTTCTGCCTCACCAGGTCAGCCTCCAGCACCGCCTCCCGCGCTCCGGCCCGCCACATCGCCCGCGCCATGAGAAAGCAAACTACCGCCGCGATCGCCACAACCGTGCACATGATGCACACGGCGACCACCTCCATCTCCCAGACCTCGGCCGCGTCGCTTCACCCGCTGAGCACCAGCCGGACTCCCTAGAGAGCAAGAAGAAATATGAATGTAAATATTTGTCAGTGCGCCGCTGTTGCGCTGGAAGCCATTCGGATTACAAGGAAACAAATTTTTCATGGAGAGCCTAATCTTTGAATCTGCGACGACACGATTGGAATAGAAAAATCACTTTGATCTATCCCGTTAATTTGGAAAATCTCGAGTTTTTAAGTACCCTTTCCATTTTGTGAAGTTAATGAAATTTTCCGTGAAGATTCTGCAGGTACTAGCCACCTTAATATACGTGCTATCTTGTGGTGCCATTACTTAAGTAAGCGTAATTTTGGTAGAGTGTTGTGTTGTGAAGAAAGAAAAAGGGGTGTCTGCTCTGCGAAGGACAGTTAATAACCCTTAGGTTTCCTTTGGTTCAAATTATCTCCCTGAACTCTGAAAACCGGCGACAGTACCCCCTTCTCATTTAACATGTTTTCACTCAGGTTAGGTTCTATTCAGTGTACCATGTCATCATTTCTCTCTCCTCTCACAGCTGAAATAAAAATAGTAGGTTTGTCTCAAACTGTGTATGTCAACTTTAGCTGTAATTTCAAATATTGTTCACTAAATTATTTCTGATTTACTAGATTATTTTTTCAAAACTTTCTATGCAGTTTCAATTTTGAGGTTAAGTTTTGTACTTGAATCTAAAACGCCAAGTTTTTCTTAAACTGCAAGTCAATCTTAACTGAAACTATACCAGAATGTTCCATCAATCATTCATGATTTCCTGATTTTTTTCAAAATTTGGTATACTACATTATGAACGAAACATATAGTTCACCAATATGCTGAGTCTGAAACGAACGTACGTACGTAGCTGATGAATGAAACATGGTCTATATAGTTCACGGCAATGTAAAGCTTGTTTAACATGCTTACATGCACCCTGAGCCCCTGCATGCATGGGAGGAGACGTACGTACATACCTGCTGTGTGACGACGAACTTGCGGTCAGGGTCTTATATATCCACCAAGGAGTCAAGCCTGTTCATCACGCACGTACCCTGCAATCAAGGTGGAAGAAATCACAAACGTACACATGCAAAGCAGGGACGGCCGGGCCTGGACAGCTAGAGAGGCCACCTCCCAGCTGCGTCGATTGGTACCTAGCGCTAGCGGAGGAAGAGAAGGTGTTGGGGCCGGCCGGGGGACGGCGGCGGGAGCTATGGTGGAGACCTAGATGGCGGCGGCGGATCCCTCCCCTGGCCCTGGGTAGGGCGATCGATCGATCGACGTGCGAATGATTAATCTCACGCAGCCATGTTTTGTGGGTCCGGTCTCCCACGGGAAGATCGAACTTGCCCCAAAATCTGTCCCCGCAGCCGCAGGACCTTCCAATCTCCTCCTTCATTGCAATTGCAAGATCTTTGTCCCGGATTTATCTCTCCCTGCAGGACCTTCCAATCTTCCAAAACTTGCCCCTGACCAGACTACCACAGAGCTCGCCCCTTCCAGCAGGAGGCAAGGAGGCAATGGCTAGTGTGCTAATACGTACCCGGTTGCATTTTCAAGTGATTCTAGTTGCTACAGAACTAGTTAGATTACTGGACAGTGGTACTAGCTGCTAGTAAGAGCATCTCTAGCAGACCCCTTATAGGGCGCGCCCCTTATGAGGGGTTTACAGTTCACGTTTTTTCTCTTATAAGGGGTAAATTTGGCTGCGGCAGAATAGAAACCACAGTTGAAACTATAAACTTTAAAAAAAAAAATAGGTTTGGCGCGAAAGATGAACAAGAAAGAGTAGTAGATAGAAGTTCATCATCGATATATATATGAGGTCATCGATTTACATTGTGTAGATTCGTCACAACATCGGCCTAACCTACTACCCAATATATGGCTCATCGGAGCCCTCCGGGTGCGGCAGCGACGCTGCGGCCTGGTGGCGATCACTTGTCGTCGTCGTCGTCGGAGGTGAGGTCGATGTACATGGAGTCTTGCACGTCGGCTTCGTGGCGCCACACCTTCATCTTTTCATCGAACTCCCGCGCCTTGGCGTGGCTCTGCTCATACAGGAGCTGGTTGATCTCCTCGTCCCGCCGGTGGCGCTGCGCCACCTCATCCTCCTCCCGCGCACTGCCATCGAGAATCGCTGCCTCGATGGCGTCTACCTCAGAGGTTGGGAGGGGGGGGGGAGGTAGTCCTCCGACCGAACGACGCCGGCGCGCGGCTCTTCCGCCTCAGGTTCCCTCTTCCCCGCACAGAGCTCGTCCTCTTCCCTCCTGACCGTGCGGAGCGGCGGGAGCTCCTCTACCTCCCTCTTGACTGGCGACAGCGGCGTGAGCGAGCTGCTCGTGCCGAAGACCCGAGCCTGCTGTCGATTGTACTCCTCTATCTCACGGCGGACGAGGGACGCCGACGGCTCAAGGCCATGGTTGATGTATTGGTGGGTGGAGCACTTCCGTGTCGCGGCGACGGCGACGCACCGCTTACGCTCCTCGTCGTCGTGACCGCCGGCGGAGCGGCTGACGCTCTACATCCCGCGCCACATGAGGCGGAGTAGGGGCCTCTCGGTCGGAGGGGCGGCGGATTTAGCTCACCAGCCGTGAGAAATCAAAGGGGGGAATGGGGAATGGCGGCGGCGGGGGGATAGGGTATCGCGGCCGCGGACCGAATATATACTGCGCGGGGATTTTCTTTCTTGGCCACCATAAACTTTTTATGTGCCAGGACGACTATACGGGGTCTAGTCTGGCCCAGAAAAGGGCCAAACCCATATAGTTGCCGGAAGTATAGGGCTGGACGGTTATAAAGGGTCTGCTAGAGAAGCTCTTACATGAGTGGACATGTGTACTGAATTTCCAAAATTTGTTTGTTAATGAGGGTACACGACGTCTCCTATTTGGAGAGGGCAACTAATTGAAGGGTACCCTTTGAGGGAGCCCTCAGGGTCAATTTTAGTTGGCTGAGAGTGCACCACTTCCGCCACTACTTGGCGCGCTCTCAGCCACCACCACGCGTAGCGTGCTAGGCTCTCTCGCGAGACTTGGATTTTTATTTCCTGAACGTGTTTTCGGGTTTAGATGATCTATTTTTTTGGCTTTTCGGTTTTGCCAGGTTTTCCTATATTAAAAAAAACATTTTTACTCAAAAACTGAGATTTTTTTTGCTTCCGCGAGAGGCACAGATTTACTTCTCGTGTAGGCACAATTATGCCTTTCGAGAAAAAAATGTGTTTTCATTTCTTCCGCTTCCGCAAGAGGTACAAAGTATTGCGAAGGCACAAATTTGTGTCTCGAGAGGCATGTGCCTCTCGAAAAAAAAACCGTGTTTGTTCCTTTTTTTTCTTCCGCGAGAGGCATATATTGACTTCTTGTGTGCCTCTCAAAAAGAGGAAAAAACACATTTTTTTTTGCTTCATGTGGCACAGATTTCTTTCTCGTTGAGGCACATATTTGTTTTCACGAGAGGCACAACGGTGCCTCTTCGGAAAAGGAAAATTGATGAAAAAAAAACCATGTTTCTGGCTTTATTTTTTTGTTCCATTTTTTCATTAAAATAAAGGTACATCAAAACCTATCGATATGGAATCTAGTTTCAAAATCTCAACGTGAGAAATCAACGATGCAAACGCTTCGGGATTTAGACGCACGACTTAAAAGATAAAATATTTTCAATAAACGAATATAAGAAAAAACGCATGGGTTGTGACAAGTGGTGCACACAAGTGGCGCATATGTAGTGTGCCACTTGTCACAACATGGCATGACGGGAGTGACCTTTGCAAGGGGTACCATTAATTAACTAGTGATTTCGCTATTTGGTGAGCAGGTTGCGTGCAAGCGACCTCGCACACACACTCCAGCGCGTTCGATCCTTTTTTGGGCCGGTCCATTTTAGGGTGTACCGCGCCGGTTTTGGGCGGTGAACCTTCTCTGAACTGTTTTTTTGGTTTTACCTTCATGTTTTCTTCCGATTTTTCTTTTTCCTTTTATTTGTTCTTCTTTCCTATTTTCTTTTTCGTTTCGTTTCTTTTCTGTTTTCTTTTCTTATTTTTCCGTTTTCTTTTATTCTTTATTCTTTTTTATTTTGGTGGACATCCTTCAAATTTATGGACATTTTTGAAATCACAAACATTTTTTGTGTCATGAACCTCTTTCTAGAATCGTGAACATTTTTTCAAATTCGTAAACATTTTTTGAAATTCGCAAACATTTTCTAGATCGCAAACATTTTTCGAATCATGAGCTTTTTCCCTATCGAGAGCATTTTCTGAAATTGCGAACACTTTTTAAACCGGCGAACATTTTGAAATTTTTGTGAATATTTTTTGAAATTCACGAACATTTTTTGTTTTTATGTACATTTTTTTGAAGAGCATAAACATTTTCTGAATGAACGAACATTTTTTGAACTGACGAGGCTCCCTCCTTCTTTCTCCACCCTGCTGCTGCTCCTTAGCTCTC